TATTATTATTATTTCAGTGAAATAAAATATTAAGCTAGCATGACATTGCTAAGTCAGCCCCAAACGTACCATACTGCCCAAGCTAGACTCTGTGAGCATTGCGTCAGAAGCATAGTTTTTTCTCTTGTACTTAGTTAATATGATCTGGGACTGCAAACTCCTAAAGTACTTGGGAAGCAATGGGCACATTGCTGAAAGCACCCGATGAACAAGAGCCCCTACGCTCATCCCCAGTGCCTAAGATACCACACATGCCATCAACTGCTACTGCTTGGCCAAAAGTTGGGACTCAGAAGTATTACTAGTGAGCTTCCCGTAAATGACTCCCACTCTGAAACGTGAAACCCCATAGCTATGTTCAAACGCGAGTCCCTCAGATTGCTCAGCGTAGCTTTTCACATATTTATATCCTAGCAGATGCATTTGATTTAACAAACAAATCACTTCTACTACCAAGTTGCTCAATGTTTTTAACCTTTTCACCAAATATTCTGTCCTAGCCCTTCCCAACAATATGGCTTCATAACAAATGATATAACTCTGGGTCGTGGTGTATGTTCTACTGAAAGACGGCATAGAAGTGACATATCCAGCCCAGGGCTTTTTCACAATTCCCAGAAAACTGTAATCCCACAAGAATCAGAAACACTGACCCACAGAACCACATTCCCAACTCTAAGCTGAAGATGTGATATGTTCTAAGAGGTTAATTAAACAAACAGATGAAAATTCATGGGGAAAAAAGTACGCTTGAAAGTGCTAGCTGTGATGGCATGGAAGACTGCATGTGCTGCATCCATAGCAAGACAGCAATCCAGTGAATTTTGATTAGGGGTAAAACAAGGCAGACTTGTACATAGTGAAGCTAGGACAATGGTCATGTGGCTTGGACTGCAAACTTACTATATTTCATCAAGACCAAAGCAGTAAAGGACAAAGATATGAGTTATGGTTCTTCTCACATATGACTAATCCTGTACAAAGAACAGCTTTTTCCAGGATTGCAAGGATTTTCCCATTTAACTAGGGTGGAGGCAGCAGGATTTTTGCATGCAAATAGATTTGCAAATGCACTATAGATTGTCCATTATTTGGTCTGCTAGAGTGAAGATATAAAATATTGTAAAGTGTACTTTCTGATTTTATATAAAGCTATAGTAATTAAACTATCCAGACTCCCTAAGAATATCTGGCTTTGATTCACACCACCAATATTTCCTAAGTAGGTTACTGCTACTATGGAAATGCCAGGATGCTGTCATATCACAGAAAAAGAAATACTTGACAAACACTCTTAAAACAAAGTAAATTCTATCTTTATGAAAGATCAAAGAGGCTACCCAGGATAATATAAGCTCAGCACCTACATCTCTCCTATCTATAATTCTGCATTAGTCTGCGTTTCTATGGGCTCACTAAATCATACTGTTGTAATCAAGCTCCAAGTGAGTATTTGCCTATTACCATACACTATATGAGAAGCAGTCCTGACCTGACAGACACCCTCAGAATGAACTAGACAACACAATTTAATTTGATAGTCTGAGTCATCAATATTTTATCACCTTTTGTCATTTTCCATGGTGCTTTCATTACAGTGGTAAGAAATAGTAAGAGGATTCGCAAACATGGGAACTAAAGCCCTTGACACCTAATGAATGTTTGCCTTATTATTTCAAAGGCATCTATTCTATTATAAATGCATTTTTATTAAACCAAATTAAAATGGGAGATACTTTAAAGATATTTTAAAGTAAAGTTTGAGTAAAAATTTGAAGTGAGGCTAGATGGCATGTTCCCTACAGCCTTTTACTAGCAATTAGATGTGCACCTTAACAAGAAATAATATATATAATAGGTATGAGTATAAACCTTATTTGTAACGACTATTTACATCCATAAGTCCTAGTAAACTTTGGTACTGAGGAAAACTAGCAGAACTTCACAGCATTGCTACTAAAATTATTAATCTGGATATGTACCTCAGTCTTGAATAAGGAGAAGAATTGTTCAATTTTTAAAACTTTTCTTAGAATTGTTTAGAATCACTATCTAGGGAACGTAAGAAGAACTTGATTGGAATGAATGACTTTATACTAACCTTCCTTGGTTATATAATTTAATTTAAATACAAAAGGCATCTGCCTACTTGCTGTCACCATTCTGAAACTCATAGAACCCATAGGAATAATCAGGAGGCAGTATGGCAATAGGGAAAAGTAACTTTCCATCCTAAAAAAATTGAAACAACTAAATGTCTCTGCCTCCCTGAAACCTTATAATTTATCCAACACTATCACAGAAATTGTTCCACATTTCGCACATATTCAAAAAGGTAAGTGTGACTTCTTCCAGTGTAATATCGTCTGTCACTGATCAAGTCATTCAAACAGACCTCAAATACCTCTAGTCACCCTCTCAAGACATGGTCATTTGTCATTCTTCTTCACGGGCTCTTTGTCAGTTTGTGGTCTCCATCATCATACACCTGTAAATACTGTGAGAAGGAACATAATTTTCTGCAGTTTTACAAATACCTAAGGTTTTCTGATGACGGCTCTGAGATGTTTTAATACAGAGACAGTCAACCTAAGCAGGCAGGCAGCTTAGTGGAGCAATGCAGCCAGCCCACACATGGGATTATCTGTCCTGGGACTGTCCTGCAGCTGCACTGGGCACTGGACACGCAGCCTCTTTCAAGGTGCTATCTTTGGCGGATGAGGCGAGAGGGGGCAAACTGCATCGCTGAATACCATCAAAATAAATGCACCACAGGGAGGAGTCAACTGTAAGGTAAATATATTCCCAGGATCACCACCCTGCCCATGCACAACAGTCCAGCGGCATGACAAGAAAAGGGGTTCAGAAAAGGGGGCATGACACAAACCTCTCCTCCAAGGCTGACAGGAGGTAAGTGATTAACTGACCAGGGGAATTGAATATCATTTTTTTTGCTAAATCCTAACACATTAACAATTTATTCATTGATTTGAGTATATGATTAAAAGTCCAAATCACGTTTGCCTAACCTGATATTTTTTCCCCTTCATGTTAGCTAGTAAAATGTATGTTCAGTGCTCTGTCCTGTTCCTAAGCTCTTCTCACGTAACAACACGGTAAATCCACACAAGACAGCAACTTATGCTTCTTAAGTAACAAATAAAACCCAGAAACAAAACAAAAACAGACTCCAGAAGGATGCCAGCAAATTGATGGAAACCCTTGAAAAGTGATAAAAGAAATTATGACATTTAAATAATGAGGGGGGGAAAAACCAACCATGTGTTTGTAAACTTAGCACTTGGCAAAATGATTAGTAAGGAGGAATATAAGCACTCCAAGAGCCCTGACACCAAGACGCAGTTTAACCACACGTCTCTGACACTATCTCCTGTGCCAGCTGAGAGTCTGATGGGTGGCTGACAGATGCTACCCTGCTTCTTCCTTGTTAACATAGTGATTTTTTTCTCATTTTATCCAAGATGTGCCTGAAGCGAACAAACTCCTCCTTATCTCATACAGACACGTGGGGCAATGCAGCTTCTACAGTACCTTCATCATCATCTTCTGCATGGGGGTGGGGAAAAAAGCCTCCACTCTGCCTAAATTTGGGATCAGTGAATAGTTTCAGAAGTTGCTTGCTGCATTTGTGGATGACCCGGGAACCTCTAAAAGGAGATGCCCTATGAAATGAAAACATGGATGTATAGTGTCTTGTTCCCTTCGCAGGACTTTTGAACGTTTTCTTACAGCAGATCTGTATAAAAGGGAGCTTGGATTTCATCAAGGTAATTATATGGAGCACATACCAGCATGTTACTGAGACTTCATGCAGGAGACAAGACTCCTGAATAACAAATTAGATGCTCTCTTCCTGAGTTAGGTCTGAAAAACTAATTTGATAATAAAATTTGATGTAAGAATGGGTGACTTTGAAAGAGTTTGAAAGAGGTGTGTATGGGCTGTGCCCTGCTTTAAATACCATTCTGGTTCTGAATAGGTGACCAAAATATTTTTGATATTTAGGATAGTGCACAATGCTTATTTTTCTTGCCCTGTAATTTTGCAAAGAACACAATTATTGAGCTGAACATTTAATCCTGTCTAACTCATTAAAGATTGACTCAGGTATTGAATACTATATACTTAATCCCATGGGATTAAGCCAGTGTAGCTGACAGATAATGACAGCTTTCTTTCTGATAGTTTCCTCCAAATAGAAATGGAAATAGTCACATTAACACAGCTGGGACCAGAGCTATGCTCATGTTTCTAGGCTGTGCTACAAGAATTAATAATGTCATTTGAAGTACTGCTTAATAATGAAGTAAGCACGTTGCCCAGTAAACATCAGTTTACTTTAACTCATTTGCACATTCAAAACAAATCAGATATTTGCAACTTCCATATAGTTTTTCAAACAACCAAGTATCTACAAAAGTGATGTTGTATCAGTTAATTCCCTATTTCCTTGACCATCCTTCTGCCATTCACAATGTGTCAATATTAGATCACAGCCGGGCACTAACCTAGCAGAGCAAACCAAGTAGTTCCCCCCCAAAAAATGGAAAAGCACAGAGGGTCACACCGGGATTGAAACATCACAGTCCAACACAAGAGAGTGTGAACAGATGTGGCCATGGCCTACCCTATGGCATGCAATAGAAGGCTGGGACAGGGACTACCTCCAAGTTTCTTTGTAAATGTTAATTCTCTGCTAACCCTGCACCATGTTTCAGTCACTACCAGTTCTCCCAACTGGTTCTTCTTCAGGGCCCAACTCTATAGTAAACTGCACAGGTTTATATCAATTCAAAATATATTCCATTTTTAGGATTTAGGATGTTTATAATGTTACGGTAAGCAGTCATAGAGTTTACAGTAAATCCTTTCAGGCACAGATGGAATTCTGAAATAGGCTTGTGAAGTTTCCAGGACCATTAAGTCACACAAACAGTGTTAACGCCCTACTCATAGGATCAGCTGTCATAAATGCTTACCTTTGCAAACAAAGCACTTAATATGGAAATATTTGTTCTGAACTCTCAAAACTTCTCCTTTGCATGGGTTTCCACAGTTATTGCAGAGAATTGCAGTACTTGATGGCTTCTCCAGTTGGCTGTGTACAGCCTGTGGTTGTGAAACTGCAAGAGAAAACAAAAGGCAGAGCATTTTAAAGGCCATCAGATGCATCTTCTGTAAGACCTACAAATAACGGCAATTAAAACCCGGGACAAACCAGATCAAACAGATAATACAGTTTTAACTTCTCGTATTGGTCAGCACAGGAGAAAAGATCTGCTAAAGGAGCTGAGCCAAGGTTCTCATTTCGTAACTTTCAAAACTCATGCATGCAAACATTTCAAAAATAAATCAGAATGGCATACAGAGGAAAGAATCCACACGATCAAGTATTGAGAGCCTCTGTCTAACTTTAAAAAAATGCATTGTCACATTTTCTCTTCAAGAAGTCAAACACTAGAGATAAAAGATATAGATATATAGAAAAAAATAGATAAAATACTATCCAAAATACCTTTAATGGGATTTAGTAACTATCACACTATGAGCTACTGATCTTTAAAGTTCAAGGTAATTGCCTTTGTCACTGATTTTAAGATAGAAATACCGTAGGTGTTCTGAGTTCATATTTTGAAACATTGACATCCCTATAAATACCACGTACATCTGATCATTAAACAAAGGTTGCTGTCATTTTCTAAGAAAACCACAATTCCAAGAGATTAGGTTTACCTAGGTTAGTAAAATAGTAAGTGATTTAAAAATTTGCTGCCATCTTGTGATGTAAATTAGAAATTGCATTTATTGGGCTGTTAATAACAATAAAAATTGGTACCCCAGTGTGTTATGCGGAACAGCTGAGATATCACCTTATTCTTGCAATTCTGCTGCAGCACTTGCATTGATTTTTTATCGCAGTGTACTTAAGAGTCTAGAGAGCAAACATCAAGGCAGCTCATTATAAAGGGGCTGTACTGTGACTCAAACTGGGCTTTTTTTCCTATGTGAAGAAGAACTAATAACAGGAAAATATAGCAAGCATTTTAAGTAAATTACATATTTAATGACATTCTTCTTCTGTAATGTGGCACGCTTATTCTAAGGTTGGATTGTGTATTTTGAAGTGATTGATTTTTTTTAATTTTGACTTGAAAATAAACTTACCAACCAACCAGTCAAGATAGAGCAACCTCTCATAGGCCAATACCCTGAGTATGAATGGGAATCAGATATGTTTCCCTTCAGGGTTTAGTCAAAGGATAACGCCACTGCTGTGTAACCCTTTTCTTTCATCAACATTCAAAGAATAATAGGGTAGTAACTTTTTGTACGAGACTGCTGCGAAATGGTTAGTAAATTTCTAAGAGGCTGGGTTAAACTCAGACTGGCCAAGACCTTTAGTTTCTGTTCCTATTGTAATATCAGAGTTGCTATTTCAGAAAAAAAAAGGCTTCTGAAAAAAAAAAAAAAAAGGGCGGAAAAAAATACCCATAAAATTTATTTTAATTAAAACAACAACAAAACAACAGTAATGCCTATACCATCACCATAGGTAGGGATGCTATAGAGAGGCAGTGATGGTACTGTCCCTATGTACACATATGATAACAGATGATACCAAAATTGGTAAGTGAGCGTCATCCAGCTCTTGTTCTGTAATATCTGACCTTGCTGCTCTTCCTTCTCTATTCTCATACCCACCGCCAGCACCTTGTGGTGATACCTTTTAAAAGGCCTTTCCACATCCACTGACTTTAAGGAGTCAGTACTTCAATGAGATGCTGAGCCTCCCACCCAGTCTCCCAGGGAAGTTTCTGCAAGTTTTGTCCAAACTGTCACTTTCTACTCCTGTAAGTAAAGCGGTGGGTTTTTTTTTCCCCAAGGAGATACAGGGGATAAAGCTGCCCATAGCATTACTCAACACCCATTAGCATTCTACCTTATCTGCTGAAATTACCCATTCTGGGATTGTCAAAAAAGTCCTGCTTGAGGCAATGTGAACTTTGGAGCGATTACTGAAGCCCTGGTTATAATTAAGCACATCTCCAAAAAAAACAACACATCACGATAGGCAATTAGAAGTTTATAGAAAGGCAGATGCCCAAATCTACACAGAGCAAACAGCGCCCACGGTTCAAGCTAACATGAAGGTCTGACACTCCTCAAAAGAAAACGAAGGAAACTCTGAACTTCGCAATACTTAACTTTTGACGTGAGAATTTCTCTTTACTGTAACCTGCCCAAAACAAACTACTCTCCCTGAAAAAGAATCAACCCTGTAAGGAACTGAAACAGAGTTATTTTCCTGAGTTACTTAGTAGAGTAGCTGCTAAAAGTTTGTAACTATGGATAAAGAAGGTTTGCTCCCACCAGAATTACTAATAAGCTTCTAATTTGTAGCACTTAATTCATGGAACACTTGACTTAAAAAGAGCGGACCATACCCAGAACATTTTAGCCTAAAAAGTTACATTTGAAATATAAAATTCTGATTGGAACTATTAAACATTTGACTTTTTTCACGCTCGACTCTTCCCATGGCTAAGGCTTTTGGAACAGCATCTCTCCAGAGGCTTCAGCACCTGTCCAGTGCGGAGGTATGCAGATGGCCGCGATCTTGTGCCGTGGTGTGTCCCACGGGCAGGGCAGCAACCTGGCTGAGCAGCCTCAGCCACTGTGCAGAGCGTGGGCTGGAGGGACCCAAGGGCAAATGGCCTTAAGCTGCACCAGGGGAGACTCAGGCTGGACATTAGGAAGAATTTCTTTACTGAAAGGGTTGTCAGGCATTGGAACAGGCTGCCCAGGGAGGTGGTGGGGTCACCATCCCTGGAGCTGTTTAAGAGAGGGGTAGATGTACTTAGGGACATGGTTCAGTGGTGTTGACAGAGCTAGGACAAAGGTTGGACTTGATCTTGAAGGTCTCTTCCAACCAAAACTGTTCTATGATTCTATGATCCAGACGCACTTCCATATTGCCCCGAGGGAAGCCCTCCACACCAAGAATACCCCATTTCCCTAAAGTGAAAATACTGTCACATTTCCAGAGAAAGCGTCATTTTTATGTTTTCTTGCACATGAGAGTTCAATGCTGCACATATTGCAAAGCAGCAGAAAATTGAAAATCGTTGCAAACTTCTTTTTTGAATTGTGAAAATTGTTGCAAAGCGGCAGAAAACATAAAGCCTTGCTTTCCACGATGCATGTGGTACCCAGCGCAGGGCAGGACGACGTCACACATTTGCTTCTCTTCAGGTCTCTGGATCAAGGTTTATAATTCAAAAAAACCAACAACTCAGCTATAAAATAAATTGAAAAGGAAAAGATCTATTATTTCTGTTGGAATTCTTCCATTAATCTTGAAGTAACACAAATCATATTTACAATATGTGTAGTAGACAGATGAATAACTATTTTGCTCTTCTCTCAGTTCAGAACTAAGCTACGCAGTATTTCACACAAAACTCCAGTGGGAATACAGTGCCTTCAGGCTCATTATAAAACTCTGCTTCTGAAGATAGTTTTAAATACTTATTCTTTCATCTAGCACAAATTGACATAATTAATGATACATTAGTTTAAGTTTCAATATTTTAAAATACATTATACTTTATGTTGAAATTGCAACGGCTGACAATTTTGAGAAACTATACTAGTGAACCAAACATTTTAACTTTCTCATCATATTTAAGGAAATATGTTTACATGGCAATTTTCAGCTTTCTACTTTTATGCCTTTATGCACCAAAATCAGTCTCTGAAGCAGCAGAAGATACAATCAACATATTTAATGAGTGAAACAGTGAATTACTGATGGAATGCAATGATCTGAGACTACTCATCATATCATAACTAAGGAGCTCATTAAAAATTAAATGCTGACATTATACCCTGATTTGTAGAATTTAATGAAACTAGAAACTTCCTTCTTAACTTTAAATGACTTCTTCTAAACAGAAATACGAATGAATGCCTGATTCTCCAAATTTCCCTTTCTCCCAGACTGCATTCTGCTCTAGCAGAGATATCTCCACCAATCCCTAAACCCTTAAAAGACCTGACTGCACTCACTTTTTGACAAGCACAAAAACTGGCAAGAAATGAACTAGCAAACACTTTCCACAGCACTTCTTTGGTGTACAAGACCTGTCTGCTGGGAACATCACTGCCAACAATCTTGCCAAATGTCCTGTGCTCACATATTTCTGATGTCAAGACTCAGCCCCTCTCCAACAGTCTACGCAGTACATAATTCTGAAACTTTGGATAGGTAGGCCTTACTGAATTAGCGATAGTTTATTAAAAAATTGTCAGACAAGATATATTCCTTAGATTTACTTCTATACTGCTTGGTCGAGACATATGCACTTGCTGCAAGTATCACGGGGAAGAGGGGACAGTGGTATCGCTTGTTATTTTGTTTTCAGTGTGCTTGTAACTTTGCCAAACTTACTATTTCCATAGACATTATTCACGTTCGGTTTCTTGAGCTTATTTCTTCAGGGGAAATTTCAGACAAACTGTTTAACCTTCTTATAAAGGTGAAAAAAAAGAATAGGATACAATCTATTTTTTGTCCATGTTAAAAAGAAAGCATAGCACCCTGGTTTTGGAAGTACATGGAGTAAAGGCTGAAGCTTGACAGAGATGGATTTAGTGATGGGTACACTGGTTCGATGAAAATCCACAATATGTGGTCAAAAAAGCCCAAACCCTTTGAATAAGCACAGCTCCTTCGGCATTGCTACACTAGGTAAGATTTAACAGCAGTGGGGATCAGGATGAGGTGCAAGGACTGAGGATGAGATTTGGCTGAGCCAGGAGTGTTTTGGAAGCAGCACAAGACAAGCTGACGGCTGTGGCAGAAGGGAGAAGATTTGCGAGTCCCTGGTCATGCTCTGCTCCAGAGCCTGGGATGGGAAATGTCACCTTCTCTCTGCTGTGAGCAAACTGCTGAGGGAAATCAAACCCTTGGCAAAAGATCCCACCTAGGACAGGTCCATGCAGAGGATGACAAACCCCTTTGCTATCAGACTCTCCAACAGCGAAATGAAAGAAATCTTCATGGTAGATTACAGACTTGATGAAGAAACACATGGCCAGAAACGGCAGAATTCGACACAGTCATAATGCTTTTCCCAGTTTGGTGCACTTTGTTTTAACTTAGCATAAGAACCCACAGAAGCCATCACTGAGCTTGGAAATCAAGTACTGAAAAGTTAAGAAGTGTCATGCTTAAGAATATACATTTAAACACGAAGTTTATATAGAACAATGAGTATATATCAAAGAATATACTCAAATATGAAGTTTAATAATAAAGACTTTCACATGCTTTGTTCAATATATGAACACGAATAAGGCCACATATCCCATTTACTCCACATTTTTTAACCCTGTTCTGAAAAAAATTTATTAGATTTGGTGATTTCAGAAGCATGAAATTACAAAGGCTAAATGCCACAATAGAATCCTAGAGTGGTTTGGGTCAGAAGGGACCATAAAGATCATCTAGTTCCAGCCCCCCTGCCATGGGCAGGGACACCTTCCACCAGACCCGGTTGCTCAAAGCCCCACCCAACCTGGCCTTCTGTGATATTTCATATGGACATTTTTAAAGAGCACTGTGAACTAAAGTAAGGTGTAATTTGAATGAAGAGACAACAATATTTTGTTGTCACATAAACAAATATTTTATTCCTAAAGAACAAGTTTCCATAATCCCAACTATTACCTCTCAATGCAGGGCAAGTGCTAATTCCTCACCAAGACTCCTGGATGGATACTGCAGAAACAGAACCTAAAGGCAACAGTAAAAGGAAAATCAAAGAGGTGGGGAGGGTATCGCCTCCTCTGTTCTTTTTCTGGGTTGTTTGGGGGGTTTTTCATCCTGTTCTGGAGGCTGAGTTAAAAAAGTACAAGCCTTGCCATTTCAGGCTCATACAAATACAGTATCGTTTGCCTTCAACAACAACCCTCCACCAGCAGAAAAACTACATCCATTTTCTTTAGCAACTATGAGCACTACTGGGTCCTCCATAAATTCACCAGCAACATCCCTTCTTCACAACCCATTACACTTGCTCCATGAGATGTAAACATTTTGTTTGAGGAAAAAAAAAATACTAGAAAGATATTAATATCTAAAATTACCAAATTGTACAGCTTTTTCAACAAAGGCAAAGTCCACATTACAACTCTGAACCAAAACTGCACAGCTCTGTTAATGGGTATTATTTTTCATGAAGGAAATCAGCAGAAAATTATCTCTGTGTTGACAACGAAACCTTTCATCCCTATAGCTAGAGGTGGTTACTGAAAATCAAAATAAACAAATATAAAACCCAAATGCCATTTACTTGTTAAGTATTTGAGAAACAGGACAGAAGTATTGATTGCTGAAATGCTGTATCCACTGATTTGAGGAGGGTGTGGTTCACAGCAGCCCAGAGGAGAATTAAATTTGCAATCTTCTCTGAGCAGATTAAAGGAGAAACAGATGAGTGCAGCAGCACCCAACCGGAATTAAAGATTGAAGTTCAAGTTGGTTTTTTGCCAAACCCTTCTTGTGTCGCCTCAGTCAAAACACTCAGGGTTGGATTTAAAAACACCCAGATGAAAGCAAAGGAAACAAGCATTTAAGTGCCTCTAAATATCCTGTGATAGTTATTCCTGGTTTTAAGTGCCTAAAGCTGGCCCCTGCTCCCACCCTGCCTTGTGTCCATGTGTAAAATACAGTGACTAGGAGTTCTTCCAGGGCTGGTGCGGGGGTAAGGGTAATGTAAGACAGTAATAAGTAATACAGTATTACATGCGGTGTTCAGAGAACTGCATGGGTGTGAGCTATAAATTTACTTTAGATAAGGGGATTGGGATTTTTTTTGTTCCTAAGAACTGCAGATTCATTATGGAACCCTGTGGGGGCCTGAGACCTCGAAGGTCCTTTCCACAGAAAGGATGAGAAAAAGAGCAATTGTGAAATGGGGAACCACAAGCTTTCCCCATCCATCCTTCCAACTGCGCTCGGCAGCAGGGAAGAGCAATTCCCCAGCCCGGCCTGGCTATGTACCCCGGTGAGCCATGCACCGGGGCAGCGAGGACCACATGTGCCCAAATGGATGGGGCAAACCTGTCCAGCAGCAGACGAATTAGAAACAGATGTTCTGCAAGAGCATGTTAAGTATCCAGTGGTAATTTGTTTTACCATATTTCTCAATCAGCAGCTTGTGTTAAAAGCAGTTTAAACGCGTTTGCATGCTTTACAGTGCCTTGTCATTATGACACAATACCTTTTTATTCCACACATCTCACCACAAAGCAGAAGATTACAAGGATAAAGGGAAAGCTAAAGAAGTTTTGCCTTGAATGTCCATATTACATAGTCCCTCAAGCCCTCGAGCTGGCCATACAGAGGGCTGAACTGTCCCCAGGCCAGTGCATATGAGCTCACCAGCTTCCTCAACGGGGCTTTTCTGCACGGAGCAGGACCAGCCGTTCCCCCAGAAATCCTCACTGCTCTTTCTGAGACCTCTGCTGTAGCTCCTACAACAAAGCACTTGTACTGCTTCTCTTAGTTCCTACACCGTAAAATGGGCAATTCAGCAAATTCAATAAATCTTTATAATAGTAGGTCTCTATTTAATTGAATTAATTCACATAGTCCAAAAATACAAAATAACATGGTTCAAGAATCATGGTCCTTTTTGAAATGCATACCTACTACAAACAACAGCTTTTACAGTGCTTTTCCATTGGGCAAAATAACATGGTTCAAGAATCGTGGTCCTTTTTGAAATGCATACCTACTACTTATAAACAACAGCTTTTACAGTGCTTTTCCATTGGCACTAAGAAAAGCATTTCATGCCTTTTCCATCACTTCCTTATGGATCATAACCAAAACAGAAACCTATAGCTGATACAGGACAGTAGGCAGACATCACAACTGAAGCAAACTCTGCTTTTACCACTAATTACAGAGTTCAGGGATCAGAGGCGAAGGTGTTATCCGGCAGACTGCAAATACAACCATGCATAGATGCAACACAGCACAAGTACTCAGCACACAAGAGCTGCAAATCTCACCATATGCTCAGTGCAAAATTCACATCACATAGATAAGCCTAGCATGAGCTAACCTCCTGCCCTCATTATTATATTAAAATCTATGAAATCCAAAGGCAGTTAGTAAAAATCTCTGCTGAATTTTAGGAACAATTACTGCAGCAATGTAAAGGTTATTTTTGTGTGAGTTTAGAAGATTACAGTGAGAAAGGATATAGAAACAGAACTCAAATATATCTACATAAAGCACTAGGTATTTTTTTCTAATTTTCAGTCTAATATAAACTCTAAAGTCAATTTAAATTAAACAAAATGAGGAAAGTTTTCAAATTGAGCTGTCAGCTAAGTGCCAGAATCATTATAATTTCCAAATCATCATTCACATAATTAAAAGAATATGAAGCATTATTTAAGATCAATGTTTAACCACCTCCCTCCACTCTGCTGCGTTTCCATGTAAACACAGAATAATTATTCTCATGACAGTATCAGCGATTTAGTTACTGCACCTCCAGATGAAAAACAAATCATTTTGGGTTTAGGCTCTCCAAAACGTGGGGTTCTCACACTGTACCTGTATCCTCCGGCA